TAAATTGCATAGATGTAGTTTATCACACTAACCAATCTGCGATCGAACCTCACCCCGAGATGTCACGTTGGGTTCTGATCTACATTTAGCATTTTCACTTCTGTAAATCCGACTTGACAATGTGATACTTTTCAAATAAAACCATGACACTGCTGCCTTCGAAGGATTGACATTCACACCAGGCGGCAATTCGATCGAGTTCTTTGTGCATTGTGCTGGCGATCTCCTGTCTATCTCGTCCTCGTCGATAAATCAAAATGTCAGTGATCATCACCGTATAAACGTTGAATAAGACTGGTGATAGCGGTGATCCCTGTGGCAAGCCTGGACATATCGTTTGCGGTTCTGAGGACCAGCTACCACATCTTAGTACAATCTTTCTCTGGATCAGAATAGGATTAACTTTGTATGTGTACGCAAGAGTAATACATAATCAAATACTTGAAGAGCTGTTATAATCAAATACACTCAATCAGATATCATCATGATATAGCAGGTCCTTTGCAGAACGTCGCTTCTATCACGTCTGCCTAGAAAAAAAAAACTCGGCCTCTCACCAACTCTCCCACCTCACGCACTTTCACATTCAAGGAGTCACTTATATCCTGTACCCATCTTTGTGTTGGTCAGCCCCTGCCCCTCCTTCCTGGCGCCATGCATCCCAGACAAGATGTAGTTTATTAACCAATCTTCTTTGATGTTCAGATCTTTTAGAATGTAAATCAGATGTAGCTACTTTTAATAGCAATGCTCTGTTATGGAATGTGCTCTTAGCAATTCAGCCTCATATGTAACATATATACACATCTTCCTTCTTGATTACACAAGGTACATCTCATGCTTGTGTTTTGTCACCAAAGAAACCTCTAACATAAGCCTTATAATATGTCCCAATTAGGAAACATTAAACAAAGTTTAAAACAAACTAAATGAAAATTATGTGATTCGATCATAATAACACACCTTTTTTTTCAAGATATGCAATTCACACAAGTAGTTTAAAAAAAAAAAAAAATTTCAACGATATCTGACCTATTGGACTTCTTCATTTGTCCAGTGAGCAACTAGAGAAGGACTGTCCATTTTCAGAAGGGCTGCTATCTGTATGGGTTGCCGGGCACCCAATTTTGATGACACAAGAACTGACCTACTGTGCCTTCACAAGCCTATCATACAAGGTGACTAATTAGGGGTTTGCTCAAATCTGATGTGTTGAGCTGGAAGCTGCAAATATCGCAGCCTTGTGGTAAACCACAACATCCCAACTAATGGCAGATGCAGCCGCCTTTACTTCCCCGGACTTTACCTGGTACTAATTTAAAACTAGGTCAAGCTGAAATCTAAAGACATTTTAGGGCATAAGCAGGAGGACAAAAGAAGAAGATGACACATACATTACAGTAAACAAGCACAAGATCCTTGTCACCCGAGTGGCACACCGAGCATATGATGCTAGATTCATATTTCTATAGACCAAGTGGCACACCGAGCATATGATGCTAGATTCATATTTCTATAGACCAAGTGGCACAACGAGCATATGATGCTAGATTCATATTTCTATAGACCAAGTGGCACACCGAGCATATGATGCTAGATTCATATTTCTATAGACTGGCACACTGAGCATATGATGCTAGATTCATATTTCTATAGACTGGCACACCGAGCATATGATGCTAGATTCATATTTCTATAGACTGGCACACTGAGCATATGATGCTAGATTCATATTTCTATAGACTGGCACACTGAGCATATGATGCTAGATTCATATTTCTATAGACTGGCACACTGAGCATATGATGCTAGATTCATATTTCTATAGACTGGCACACTGAGCATATGATGCTAGATTCATATTTCTATAGACCAAGTGGCACACCGAGCATATGATGCTAGATTCATATTTCTATAGACTGGCACACTGAGCATATGATGCTAGATTCATATTTCTATAGACCAAGTGGCACACTGAGCATATGATGCTAGATTCATATTTCTATAGACCAAGTGGCACACTGAGCATATGATGCTAGATTCATATTTCTATAGACCAAGTGGCACACTGAGCATATGATGCTAGATTCATATTTCTATAGACTGGCACACCAAGTGCTAGATTCATATTTCTATAGACTGGCACACTGAGCATATGATGCTAGATTCATATTTCTATAGACCAAGTGGCACACTGAGCATATGATGCTAGATTCATATTTCTATAGACCAAGTGGCACACTGAGCATATGATGCTAGATTCATATTTCTATAGACTGGCACACCGAGCATATGATGCTAGATTCATATTTCTATAGACCAAGTGGCACACTGAGCATATGATGCTAGATTCATATTTCTATAGACCAAGTGGCACACCGAGCATATGATGCTAGATTCATATTTCTATAGACCAAGTGGCACACAGAGCATATGATGCTAGATTCATATTTCTATAGACCAAGTGGCACACTGAGCATATGATGCTAGATTCATATTTCTATAGACCAAGTGGCCCTCGGTGGGTGATATGGTGAACATCATGCTGGTTTCAGTTACTTTCCAAGATCTCATCTGGGACCCACTTTAGGCTGGGAGCCAAAGTGATGTGTTTATTTTTAAATCCCACCTTTGTAGTCCCCATAGTATGCACATCAGATGGGATCGGAGCACATTCTGCAACCTGCCCACAACTTCAAAGAGAACCTGGCCTCCAGAGAAAAGTGTGCAAAGCAAGACTTACGAAACCCCAAAGGACCTGCAACTGACAGGCAAATTCATTGAGGCAGCCCACCTGATGAACTGACCTGAGCATACAAAACTGAAAACCAAGAAGAAAAAGAAAAAGAAGAAGGAAAAAAGGAATCTGATTCAATGTGGATTCAAACTCAAGACCATCAAGCTGACAGATGTAGTCAAAATTGCATTTCCTCTATAGGTAAGCACGGACACAATCAAGAATGTTTTCAGAATCAACAAATTACCCTATAATAAACAAAGTGGTGTTTTTCCTTGTTGATTTCTGTAGCCTACACAAATGAAAGAATAAACTTTGGTTATTTCTTTTTCTTTACAAAAAACAAAACAAAGATTATTAATACAGCAATAGACTTTTGCAAACCATGCTTTTTCAAGTTGTGTACCTACCATAAAATTCTTAAAAGCTAACTAAATCCTATCCTGATGTACAGAAGTGAATCATGAACAGTTGTTTGATTAGTGAACAGTTAATTATTTGGAAGCCTGTAGAGATGTGGTTTTTAAGATGAGAATACCTTGGACAGATAAAAAGAGTAATGAAGACATCTCCAAAGAAACTGACTGAGGAAGAAAACTGACTGCCCATATCAGAAAGAGACAATCTACATTCTTTGGTCATGTGATGAGAAGGAAAAAAACTGGTGTACATTGTGACAGTAAGAAAGTTGGAGGGAAGGAGACAGAGAGGCAGAGGGAGACAGAGAGAAAAGATGCCAGATAGTCTGACATCATAGCATGAAGGATCATCTATGTCAGAGTTGACTGAAAGTTCATGGGTTAGAAGGCTGTGGACAGACATTACTACCAACGCCTCAGGGCATGGACTTTAAGAAGTATTACCATATAACAGAATCACCACATAATTAACGGGCATACCTAAAGAAAATCATTGCCAAAGGAAGGTCCTTCATCACGGGGATGCATGCATGTCGGTCCAGTAAGTATATGAGTGGAGTGGGAAGTTTCAAAACAGCATGACTTCTGTGACAAGACTGTTCTAAGAAAGAAGCATCTCATGTTTAACTGGCCAGAACAGAAGCTCCTCATTAATTAGGAGATCTGAATTTTCTTATTTTCAAAAATCTACCAAGGAACAAATGCTGTTTATTAGTTATAATAAAGAACTTGTCATAATAAATGAATATCATAACTTCAAACAAAAGGATTACATTCTGAAGTTGAGGGATTTTAATCAGGGGTCGCAGCCAAATTCACCCATATTTTTCAAGCTTTCCAATGGAGTTTGCAAAGGACTTTTCAATGTATTTCTGTATTGTTTAAGGGTTTACTAGGCACAGTTTATTTGTGCGCGCACATCTGAATATACCCGCACAGATTTAGTGTTTTTACATACACGCAAACATACACGTGTTTTACATCTTTACTAGACATGGTGGCACAGGGGAGCAAACTGAAGTAAAAGGTCCCCTTTCTACGCCTTAAGGTATATATTAAGAATATAGGGCATCTCACCAGACACCTTTGCTTCCCGAAACCGCACCTATCAAATTGTAGGGATGATCATTATTAACTGTTCAAAAATTAAATTATTGTATATGATATCGCTGAACCCTTGATTTTGTTTTGTCGACTGCTGGGGCTTCATGAGCCGCCTGAACAACATGAAGGCCTAACCCTTCACATGCCAATGGCAGTAGCTCCTGTGATCTGGCCTAAACATTTTTAAGCACTTTTTTATGAGGCTGAACCAAACCCACAGCCATAAATGGTTACTTCTTTCAATCCCAAGAAACATACCAAGTGTGAGCAGTTACCGTCCATGTGTATTAAACATCACTCTGTATGTTCATATAATCTTTATTCTTGGCTTAATATATACAAGAAAATATCTTAACATGCCCCACAAGTGTCTGTTTCAGCCTGTAGACTGATACAACTGTGTCCTTCTTGCGATAATTTTTGCCTTTTTGGAAATCTATGAATGCTCCTGGGACTGAAAGGGTTAAGGAAGAAAATCATGTCACGACTGAGAACAAGCGTCACTGTCTAGCAAATAAATGTACTTGCCAGTACCCACAATGCTCCTGATCTGTGATCTAAATGACTAATAAGTCGTGCACAAAGTTCCTTTTCCTGTTTCTGAAGTCAAACCACATGAACTAACATTCTGGCATGGCTCAAGCTAAATTGTATGTGTAATTTGTGGCCTACAGACATACATTTTGAGAGCCACAGACTTATATCAAGACTCCAAGAGAACACAAATGTCATTAGCTGCCTTAGTGTCGGACATCTGCACTGTCATCAGAGCTGACGGTGATAAACTTGAGAATCATGTCCTGGAGCGGTGGTTCCAGCTCGGAGAACATCAGGTAATCCTGCAGCACGGTCGGGATGCGTAGATTCTCCATGGCCGAGCGGCAGTAGCGGTTCTCCTTTCCCAGCTTGTGGACAACAACACGGCGACATCGGTGGGATAAAAGGTTTGTTTTCTCTGGTAAACAATTTTAAACAAAAAAACTTATTAAGAGTTCAAATTCCAACTCTGCGGAATTAATTTTAAAAAGCTGACCACATTCAATCTGCTGCAAACAGCTTTCGCTGTGAGCACTGTTTAGTTATGTGTGTGGTCTAGTTTTTTTGTACCAAGTGTTTTGACTGAGTATTGTGTCCCTATCCAAGTGTATTGTCCATCCCTCATGTCTGTGTCCCGCTGTAGTCCTGTTTTGTCGACTGATCTTGTTGGATTTCTCTCCTTTGTTCTGGCTGTGACAGGTGTCCATGTTTAAAGTTTCTGTCCAGGTGAGGGTTCTTTGTGAGTCTCCTGTCACGTGGTCCTGAGACAGTTCGGTCCTGTCACATAGTCCTGAGACAGTTCGGTCCTGTCACATAGTCCTGAGACAGTTCGGTCCTGTCACAAGGTCCTGAGACAGTTCGGTCCTGTCACGTGGTCCTGAGACAGTTTGGTCCTGTCATGTGGTCCTGAGACAGTTTGGTCCTGTCATGTGGTCCTGAGACAGTTTGGTCCTGTCATGTGGTCCTGAGACAGTTTGGTCCTGTCATGTGGTCCTGAGACAGTTCAGTCCTGTCATGTGGTCCTGAGACAGTTCAGTCCTGTCACAAGGTCCTGAGACAGTTCGGTCCTGTCACAAGGTCCTGAGACAGTTCGGTCCTGTCACATAGTCCTGAGACAGTTCGGTCCTGTCACGAGGTCCTGAGACAGTTCGGTCCTGTCACAAGGTCCTGAGACAGTTCGGTCCTGTCACATAGTCCTGAGACAGTTCGGTCCTGTCACATAGTCCTGAGACAGTTCGGTCCTGTCACAAGGTCCTGAGACAGTTCGGTCCTGTCACAAGGTCCTGAGACAGTTCGGTCCTGTCACGTGGTCCTGAGACAGTTTGGTCCTGTCATGTGGTCCTGAGACAGTTCGGTCCTGTCATGTGGTCCTGAGACAGTTTGGTCCTGTCATGTGGTCCTGAGACAGTTTGGTCCTGTCATGTGGTCCTGAGACAGTTTGGTCCTGTCATGTGGTCCTGAGACAGTTTGGTCCTGTCATGTGGTCCTGAGACAGTTTGGTCCTGTCATGTGGTCCTGAGACAGTTTGGTCCTGTCATGTGGTCCTGAGACAGTTCAGTCCTGTCACAAGGTCCTGAGACAGTTTGGTCCTGTCACGTGGTCCTGAGACAGTTTGGTCCTGTCACGTGGTCCTGAGACAGTTCGGTCCTGTCACGTGGTCCTGAGACAGTTAGGTCCTGTCACGTGGTCCTGAGACAGTTCAATCCTGTCACGTGGACCTGAGACAGTTCGGTCCTGTCACGTGGTCCTGAGACAGTTTGGTCATGTCATGTGGTCCTGAGACAGTTCGGTCCTGTCACGTGGTCCTGAGACAGTTTGGTCCTGTCACGTGGTCCTGAGACAGTTCGGTCCTGTCATGTGTTCCTGAGACAGTTCGGTCCTGTCACATGGTCCTGAGACAGTTCGGTCTTGTCACGTGGTCCTGAGACAGTTCGGTCCTGTCACGTGGTCCTGAGACAGTTCGGTCCTGTCACGTGGTCCTGAGACAGTTCGGTCCAGTCACAAGGTCCTAAGACAGTTCGGTCCTGTCACAAGGTCCTGAGACAGTTCGGGCCTGTCACATGGTCCTGAGACAGTTCGGTCCTGTCACGTGGTCCTGAGACAGTTTGGTCCTGTCACGTGGTCCTGAGACAGTTCGGTCCTGTCATGTGTTCCTGAGACAGTTCGGTCCTGTCACATGGTCCTGAGACAGTTCGGTCCTGTCACGTGGTCCTGAGACAGTTCGGTCCTGTCACGTGGTCCTGAGACAGTTCGGTCCTGTCACGTGGTCCTGAGACAGTTCGGTCCAGTCACAAGGTCCTAAGACAGTTCGGTCCTGTCACAAGGTCCTGAGACAGTTCGGGCCTGTCACATGGTCCTGAGACAGTTCGGTCCTGTCACATGGTCCTGAGACAGTTCAGTCCTGTCATGCAGTCCTGAGACAGTTCGGTCCTGTCATGTGGTCCTGAGACAGTTTGATCCTGAGACAGTTTGGTCCTGTCATTAAGTCCTGAGACAGTTCGGTCCTGTCACGTGGTCCTGAGACAGTTCGGTCCTGTCACGTGGTCCTGAGACAGTTTGGTCCTGTCACAAGGTCCTGAGACAGTTCAGTCCTGTCACGTGGTCCTGAGACAGTTCAGTCCTGTCACGTGGTCCTGAGACAGTTTGGTCCTGTCACGTGGTCCTGAGACAGTTCGGTCCTGTCACGTGGTCCTGGGACAGTTCGGTCCTGTCACGTGGTCCTGAGACAGTTCGGTCCTGCCACAAGGTCCTGAGACAGTTCGGTCCTGTCACATGGTCCTGAGACAGTTTGGTCCTGTCACGTGGTCCTGAGACAGTTTGGTCCTGTCATGTGGTCCTGAGACAGTTTGGTCCTGTCACGTGGTCCTGAGACAGTTCGGTCCTGTCACATGGTCCTGAGACAATTCGGTCCTGTCATGTGGTCCTGAGACAGTTTGGTCCTGAGACAGTTTGGTCCTGAGACAATTTGGTCCTGTTAAAGCTCTATGCTGCTCACAGAGCACCATCACGCAAGAACCAAGGCTGTCACCACTACAACACCCCACCACGCCAATGTTTTTGTTTTAATTTATGTAATGTTTAGAGGGTCGAAAGTACTGAAATCAGCTTTTGATGTTAGACAGATCTGTAAAATTGGTCTAAAGAAAATGTAGATCTCAAGGATCTTTACTATTAGAGAACTCAACTCCTCTATTCTGGATGTGTGATAGCAACAGCAGAGAAAGATGAAGTAGCAGCTGCAGAGGAGGAAGAGATAAAGAAGCAGAAAAGGAAAAGGAGGGAAAAGAACAGACTTTATTTTCAAAGTATTGAGAGACTTCAATTATAAGCTAAATGATTATGCTAGTTCAGCATTGGGTACGCATGCCCATCTAACATTCTGTCTTTCTGGCCTCCCTTCTTACATCAGCCTTTCAGCCATACATCATTTAACAGGTTAAAAACAAACATCATCAGCATCTAATTCTTAATGATAAACGCTAGAATGGACTACAATTATTCTCATCCCCTGTGTGGGTTCCGGTGCCCTATTGTGGGAAAACAAGAATAGACCCACTGCCTCCCCAAAAGCATGTCGTAAGAGTCGACTAACTGGGGAGCTTCCTTTGAAGTCGGAGTGCATCTGCCTGAGAGGCAAGGAACCAACAGTCTGCATTCAGATGAATCAGATCTGTAAAACTGATGCACACGCAACACTCAGGTTCTGGAGCAAGACTGCCGTTCCGAAGTGGACGAACAACCAGAACTTTCCGCCAGAGTGTACAGCTGGTGAACGCGAAGAAGAAGAAGAATTATTCTCAGTGGATACAAAGTCAGAGGAAGGGAATCCACCTGTTAGTACCATGGTGCCATTTTGAGAAAAGCATGTTATAGGAAGTGACTAATTAGGGAAATTTCCTTTGGAGTACATTTTCCAGAGAGACAAGGAACCAACAGTCTGCATACAAATAAGCCAGATCTTTCAAATGGGTGTGCAGGCAGCTTTAAAATCCTGGAACAAGAACAAAGTCCAGAAGCTGACAAACAACCATGACTTTCCATCAGAGTTCACAGCTGGTGAACGGGAAGAAGATGAAGAAGAGGTGAACAAAAGAGACAGATGTATATAAAAATTACATATGCACAAGACAAGTGGATGGAATCACAGCACATACTCACCAGATATTGTCTGCAGAACCTTGCGCTGGTTGGGTTCAAAGTGCAGCAGAATGTGGCGGGGAAGACTGGCATGGTCGCTGATGCACATCAACAGAGCTAAAACAGGCACAAGGTTTTCCTTTCGGTGAAACATATGAAACATGAGCCCAAACAAGTTTGTGATTGCTGGACTGCGATCAGGGGGGTCCCCATTGATAGGGTCGCAGAGGTCAAACAGTGAATGTGACTCTGCTCCAGCGAGGAAAAGCTGCCAAATGTAGAAGACCTGGAAGTTGGGCTGTCGTGAATTACGTACAATCATGGCCGTTAGGTCTCGTTCTAGGTCCTTCTGGAACGCAAGCAGCATGGCCACGTTTCCTGTCACATTTTTATGATAAATATTGGGTGAGGCTCCGTAGCGCAGAAGTAACTGAAAAAGTGGAACATTGTTAGTCCAAAGAGCCACAAGCAAAGGTGGGAGTTCATCTTCCGATTCTGAAATGTTTGGTGAGACTCCGTGTTTCAGGAGGTACTCGGCACCATTGACAGGCCAGTCAGAGTCGATGAGACACAGCAAGGAACACACTCTCGCAGGCACAAGAGCACTGGTCAGGTGACCCAGTTCAAGCATCAAGTAGGCGGGCAACTCACATGTTTTTGCGATGGTCAAATGTTGATGCAGCATTTGAAGGATGGTTGTGTCCACGTGTTTGGTGGCCTGAACAAGGGGGTGCATGGCATCAAAATTACCTCTCTCAAACACAGATAGATCTGTATGCGGTAACAGTAACTCCACACACCTGAAATTTATATGTATTCTGTTTTTTAATTAAGTTTTATACAGATATTTTCTTTTAAAATAATTGGGGGGGGGGGGGGGGGTATCTTGGATCTTTTTGCCACCGAAAAGCCTAGAAAAACAATACCAAAATAATGTGTTACAGTAATTCCCATTTTTTTTAAAGAATTCTTTAAAAAAAAACTGTACTCAGGTCAGCAAAATATTTCCAAACATTTAATTTGTGTGGATTAAAAAAAAAATTTCCAACAACTGAAATGAGATTCCCAAGAAGGGCTCTTAATGTAACAATAAGAAATAAGATCAAGAATGATGAAATCTGAAGGAGAATGGGGGCAGCGAAGCTCACGATTTCATTATAAGACAGCAGGTGAAATATTTTGGCCATATAATGCGGATGTCAAAACTACAGCAAGCAATGACATACAGACCAGGCAGCAAGTGAAGAAGAGACTGACCATGCAAACAATGGACAGAGGGAATAACAGAGTCACTGGGAATTCCCATTTGTGAACCACACAAACTGTCACATTTCCGTAAATTATACTTCACCTCGACACCGCAAGGTACAATAGGATCAAGATGAGATAAGAAAAAAATATTTCCTTTATCTATGGGAGAAATCATTAGACAAGATGGGAGAGGAGATTGCCTGGTTTATGTATGTCTGAACGTTAAAAAAAAAGATTTATGTGGTGACTGATGTGTAACCCCGTAACCCAGTCGCTGGCAACCACTTAGGCAAATAGGACATTATAGTCTCGTAATTTTTTTTTAAAGATATTTATTCATGCAAAAAAAAAAAACGAGGCACTATTTTTAACAAATATAATCATTCTCTGTGCTCCTAAACATGTGTGCATGCATAAATGGCATAGATTTTGTTAGCTAGACTTCTCAGAAACAAGCCACTATTGCAATGCCAATTAAGTGCCAATTCCAAGGGATTAGACACTATGATAATGATGATGCTAACAAGAGAGGGTGTAAGAGAGAAAGCAGTTATAACAGCAGCTATAATTAATATACCCACCTCTGGTGCCCGTTACAAACAGCATACTGAAGCGCAACAGCGTGATCGCCGTCCGCAGCAAGATCAGCGTCAGCCCCGTAGTGTAACAAAATGGCCACGATGGCTGCATGACCTTCTTGTGCCGCAATCAACAAGGGTGTGGCATTGTCTGCGGCTGGGGTGTTGATGATATGCATGACACCTGCAAAACAATTTGGTACCAGTGAGTGGAAACAGTTTACAAGTGAGTACAACAGACAGTGGTCCAATTCAGCTGCATTAGCACAAATATTATAGCCCCTGCTGAATGACTATGCTTCATGTAAGCTGATACAGCACAAACATTTCAGCCCTTTTGTACCGACAGTGTTCCCTCTAGGTTACACAGGCACTTTTCTAGCTCTTGCTGTACTGTTTCCTAAAATCTGAGCTAGCACATACTTTTTTAGCCTTTTCTGACCTTGTTCTCTCTAAGTTTTGATTCTCCTCTTTCTTCAGCATTTCAAGCCCTTGAGATTCACTGCTATCACCCTCTTCCCCTTATCTCTCTGACAGGCCTTCTCTTTTCAGTTGGTGATATTTTGGTGATTTTAGTTGGTGGCGATTTAAATAGATTAAGTTCGACTAACACAAATTATTTAGTCCTTGCTGTTCTAAAAATATCCCCTCTAAGATGTGCCAGTACAAACACTGCTGTACTGACAGTGCTCTCCCAGAGTTTCATCAGTACAAACATTTTAGCCCTAGCTCTTCCAAGAACATTCTCTCTCAGTTTTACTAGCATGAACATTTTAGTCCTTGCTGTAACAATGTTCCCTCTGTGCAATGCTGGCAAAAATATGTTTATTCCTTGCTGTAACAATGTTCTCTTTGTGCAATGCTGGCAAAAATATGTTTAGTCCTTGCTGTAACAATAATTCCTTTAAGCTATGCTGGCAAAAACATGTTTATTCTTTGCTGTAACAATGTTCCCTCTGTGCCATGCCAGTACAAATATGTTTAGTCTTGTAACAATGTACCCTTTATGCTACAAAAGCCATTTTTGTATGTTTGGTCCAGCATATAAGTCATTATATAAAACAATATACGAGAGAATCAAATGCAAACTTGATCACAAATTAATGTGAGTTGCTTATAAAGCAGAGCTTTTGTTCATAATGCTAAATTAATTTATGCAAAATGCCAGCAGCAAACCTGATCTAGATTCATCCTTTCAACATTTGCGTTAACAAATCTAATCTAGATAAATTCTTTGGCCATTCCGTCAACAAATCTTATCCAAAGTTGGACAATAATTTTTAAAATGATGATGTTTAAAGACACTTTACATGCACTTGGAAAGTGATAAATAATTATAGCAGCTGTCCCTACCTCGATTCTTGGCATACTTGATCAAGAACTTCACGCAGTCGGTGTGTCCTTTGTGGGCGGCCAGAAACAAGGGAGATAAATTATGGTCAGCGTAGATATCAACATCGGCCCCATGCTGTGAATGGAAAAATATACTCATAAATGCTGAGGAACTTATCTGTACCCCACTTTACTTCTCTAGTCAAATTTTTTTTTTTTTGTGGGGTTCAGACCCCCTTTTGTGAGGAAAAAGAACAGACTTACTGCTCCCTAAAAAGAATGTCATAAAAGTCAATTAATTAGGGTGTTTGCTTCAAAATCAGATTGCATCTGCTGGAGAGACAAGGAACCAACGGTGTGTACAAATATGCCAGATCTGTTAAACGGATGTGCATGCAAAACTCAAGCTCTGGAAAAAAGATCAAACTCCAACAGTGGACAAACAGCCAGAACTTTCCGTCAGAGTTTTTAAAGTAACACTCCTAATTAGTCTACTTTTATGGCTTGCTTGTAAGTGAGGAAATGGGTCTATTATTTTTCCCTAGAAAATGGAGCCCCAGAATCCACAAAGGGAAATCTTTAATCTCAGAACTAGACAGTGAACTCAGAGCACCTGGTAGTCTGGTAGTCTTAGTTTCAGCTTCATAGCAAATGGGTCGCCCCATCTTTGCTCCGCTCCTGTGCCAACGAAAAACACTCAGAATGTTTATCACAGTCCCTTGTGGAAAGATTGACAGACTGCTGTCTCAGCATATCTAGCATACACTCGCATTAAAGCATACGGTAGCCATCCGAAGTGCTAACACAAACAGTCAAACATTAGAAATGCAGTTCATCATTGATGATAGCGGAACTTGTCGCCAACAAATCAGCCGCTGCCCACGCGATCAATTGTAATCACATCGCCAACATTGCACGACAGGCATCACGCCATTTTCTGAATCTACAATTCACACCACCACGTTGGTCACAGTCGAAAATACATTCCAAATGCAATCCGCAGCTCACAGGGTCACGCCATGCATTCAACTCAGAAGCTGGGCGACGAAACTATATCCAGTCTACAAATGGAGCAAAAATACTTCGGCCACCGTCCGGCAGAAGCAAAAAAATTTGCCTCTGCTTCGAACAACGCCGCTGTCTAGCGTCCATTTTAACCGGGGGAAAAAAAAAAGCACACCTTCAGTGAACAGGTCGCTGAGACTGTCACATGCAGCTGTGCAGCACCAAAACAAACTAGACATCAAATCCCAAAACCCTGACAGAATGTGAAAGACATGCGACCTCAAGCACACCACACTTTTTATGGACCATGTTTAAAAAGATTCACCACAAATGTTGACTGCTATAGAAGAAGAAAACAGAATTCTGGCCCAAAGAAGCAAGGAACCTGTGAAATCTTCATATTTGTCTACATCATCTTTACCTCTCTGTCGACATGGAAGACATTCATAAGTCATCCCCATTACTGCCTGTCCTCTCTTTCTCAGCCCACAGTATCCAATATCAGTTTACATTTCCTCATTTCCCATTTTACTGTCCTTTTCCAAGTCTCCTTAGGTCATCCACATCTCTCTTTCGCTTCTGCCACCTAGAGAGCTGTCCTCGTCAGTCACAAGACATTCTGCAAAGGGATTTAAGCCATCTCTATCCTATGATAACATCTTCAAATACAATGTCTTATGTATGACACATGCCTGCATAGCTAAAGCAGACCAGAAACAGAAGTAATGGGGTGAGGAGGAAAAAAAGAATAAGGAGGAAGAGAAGAAAGCGTACTCACCTGTAGTAATAAATTAACATAATGAGTCAGGCCTTTCTCGGCTGCCAGGTGCAGAGCTGAGTAGCCTGTGTAGATCCTGGCATTCACATCTGCATCTTTCTTCAGTAAAGTGTGGAAACACTGCAAACTCCCAGAGTTCAGAGCTGTGGGTGTTTAGAAAACATTTGTTCAATCAAACAGCTTTTATCAGTCCAGGGTTCAAGTTGTTTTGGTTTTCCTATGCAGTGAGACTAAGGAGGTGAATGGATATACTTTTTTTTTAATAAGGCTGCCATCCATTTATCTTCTTTTTCAAACTTAAAATGGTGGTGGGCACGCTGTTTGTGACTAACTGCCATGCTGCGATACATAAGCATTTTAGCCCAATACATCATATTTATTCTGCAAGTCCTTAAGCCTATCACAACATGCTGTTTAAAAGGAAAAAGGCCATTTCGTTTTTTTTCAAGGAAAAATGGGGCACCCCAGAAACCACATGGAGAATTCATTAATTGTATCAATAGCTTGTATCAGTCTAGCATTCCAGAGGAAGTGGGGGAGGGGGGCACGCGGAAGTGCTGTGAAACTAAGAAGGGAAACAAGACTTTTAATAAGGTTGTCTGCTTACAATAAAGCCCAGACTTTGCCAACCAGATGGAGACAAAAAAATCTGGCCCACATGGAGTAACCCTGCAGGACAAACTGATGATGACATCAAACCCACCATCTATTTTTTTTTTTTTTTCATCCGTGCTGGAAAAGGTTGATAGCAAATTCTAATATCTGAAGAAGACTGCCACTAGTAAGATAAGCATGATGTTTCACTGGCTGCTGAATTAGGGAGTGAAGCGTATATGAGAATGTCCAGAGTGCAGTTATGTCAATTCCTAATTAATTTATTCATCTGGAAGACAATTACTGTATTGTCTTAATACAGAGAAGCTATGATATGATATTCTTAACCTACTTGGGAATGAAATTTTATATTCCTTATCTCTGCTACATCTACAATAAATATTCTAAAGATGGATAAGTTTTCATATTTTGAAATGTTCTAAATTCAACCTGTGGATAAGTTTTCATATTTTGAAATGTTCTAAATTCAACCTGTGGATAAGTTTTCATATTTTGAAATGTTTAATTGAGCTGTGGATATTTAGTACTAAATTCAACCCGATAAAACAAAAGTCAGCCATAACCCATCTGATGAGCTGATATTTAAACAAACACACAACACTACAGAGGACAAGGGTGGCTTGGACTCTACTTCTAACACAGACAAAGTTTGTTTTTGGTGTCGACTGTGAAGTTTTATCAGATAAGACAAGGATGGTATACCTCACGCTGATTTGGGGTAGTGAATCAGAAATTTAGTCTTTTCAGGAAAGGAAAAAACCTTGAGAGGACCCAATGGTGCAATGAACAATTTTTTAAAAACTTCCAGAAAATAAAAATTAGTTAAATACACAACTGCAAGCATTCAAAACTAGAAAACCTACCCATTACATTTTTTTTTACTGTAAAAAAAAAAAAATTAAAGCATGTGTGATTCAGGCATTACTGCAAGAAGGTCTCTTCATTGCCACAGTTTCTTATTATTTATTATTATCGTACACCAGTTTAAAAACTTTGACAAAAGGTTATAGGTGTTTGTCCACTTCAGGACTTTAGTCATGTTTCAGAACTTGAGTTTTGCACGGATATACATTTTACAGATCTGGCTTATTTGTCTGCAGACCGTTGGTTCTTTGCCTCGCAGGCAGAGGCCCTCCGACTTTAAAGGAAACCGCCCTAATTAGTTTACTTTCCCATTTGTCTTGTTCGTGGGGCTGTGAGTCTACTCTTGTATCCCACAAAATGGGATCCCCAAACTTCCTTGGGGACCAAAGAATTTGTAAATTGTATAATAATTCTCTTTCTGTGATGTACAAGAGACTGGAGGGCTTACAGAGACATTCATTTTCAGTCAGAATCAAACTTAATCAAAAGCAAACCAGACACTAACCTTCCACTCTATGGACCACAGAATGAACTAACAACAACAGTGAAATGTATACAAGAGACAAAACTGCTGATATAGACAACTTATTTCAGGCGAACAAGAAGAAGAGGACTAACCTTCCACTCTATGGACCACAGAATGAACTAACAACAACAGTGAAATGTATACAAGAGACAAAACTGCTGATATAGACAACTTATTTCAGGCGAACAAGAAGAAGAGGACTAACCTTCCACTCTATGGACCACAGAATGAACTAACAAAGACTGTGAAATTTATACAAGAGACAAAACTGCTGATATAGACAACTTATTTCAGGCGAAGAAGAAGAAGAGGACTAACCTTCCACTCTATGGACCACAGAATGAACTAACAAAGACTGTGAAATTTATACAAGAGACAAAACTGCTGATATAGACAACTTATTTCAGGCGAACAAGAAGAAGAGGA